ATTCATTTTGTTAAGTGTTTCTTTTGCTGTGGGAAATTTGTTTTATTGTCATTTAAAAAAATATTATAACTATAGTTTTGCAAGATGTTACCATTGAGAGAAACTGGGTAGAGAATACAGGGGAGTTCTGTATTATTTCTTAAACTACATGTGAACTCAAAAGAAATAAAAGAATAAATGCAGTAGAAAAGGGATAGAACTAGAGAATCACTAAAGAGCATTTATGGTCAAGAGAATAAGTGAGAGAAAAAGACAAAAATGAAGGGGCAAAAGGGCCAAACTGAAAAGAAAAAGGAGGGGAAAAATAAAAGAAATAAAATGTGACCTAGTGTGAGCACTTAACGAGAGGAAATCGGGAGATCCAAACAGATGAAGGAAAGGACCAGGGCAGGCTTCCCCAGAGCTTGCTCAGGGCTCGCCCACTGAAACTGGGCTCTCCACGCCCCTCCCTTGGGCTCCCTACTCTCTTCCATCGTCCTAGCAAACCTCCCTGTTTTGGAAAACCTTTCCTGGTTCTTGCTGGCTCTCCTTCTGCCCTCCTTGCATCTGTCTAATGGCACTTACCGTGATGCTGTAATGTATTCACAGGCATGCCTGCCTTCCCGTTAGTCCTGGAAGAGCTCTCCAAGGTAGGGCAGGCAGGGTGTGCATATGACCTAAACTTCTATCACAGATTCTGATACAAGGTCTAGCCTGTGGTAGGAGCTCCATACACAGTTTTGGAGGAATATATGAGTGACTTTAAGCTTATCCAACAAAGGGAACTTGCCAAAGTGACTGAGGCAGCCTGACTTGGGACTGGAAGGCCGGCATACCCTGATGTCCAGTGAGGTTGCTCTGCCATAGCCCATGTTAGCTGGCTGTTATTGCCTTTGTCTGTAAGGGTCCCTGAGACCTGGGCCCCTGTGGGATCTGTTGTCCCTGCTGGATGGCCGGCTTCCTGGAGCAGAGGCGGAGCCTCACCCCTGATGCTTTTATGACCTTCCTCCTGGCCAGGATTTGAGCATCAAGTGCTCAACAGCATATCTTGGGAGGGGAGCAGACTCTGAGAGCAAAGCACAGGACACAGGTTTGTTCCCGGACGGCATTTCTCCCCCTTTGCTCCCCCCACCCGCCGCCACCTTTTTCCTTTATGAGCAGCAAGAAGTAAAGTAGGGTGATGGTGTCAGGGCCCACCTGATTTTAAGGGAGGATACCTGAAGTGTGAGAAAAAACGTCGGGGTGGGCAGCATACCCAGCTCCAAACAACCAAGTCGCAGGAGGTGAGAGACTGAAAGCTTGTCATCAGCTCTCCTCTCACTCCCCCTACCTTTCCCTTTTCACCCCCACCCCAGCCTCTGGCCACCATATGGGTTGACCCTTGGTGACCAGGAAGTGCTGTTGCCACCTGCCAAAGAGATCAGACTATCCCTGACCGTTGCCCCGCAGCCCACTCTGGTCTGGAATGCTAATGGAACTTAACATTTTATGCACCAGCTGGGATCTCCAGGGTCATGTGTTAAAGGTTTGGCTCTGACATTTAACTTAACACGGCTGTTGGCAAGGGTTGCTGCCAGCCTGTGCTCTGTTGACTAGAATAGCTCACTTATCAGAATGTCAAGGTAGGAGCAACTAGATAAGCTATGCCGCCCTGGCAGGGCCACCACTCTGTCCCTCAGCAGCCAGGGTCTCAGGAAGGGGAAGCTCTCCCCTCTGTCTTAAAATGATTCCAGAGAAAGCCATTCCACAAGTCTCTTCAAGAAATACAATCAGGTGTTTGTTTTTTCTCCAATGTCTCCCTATAATTCTTTGCACCTGAGATCCCATTCGTCTCATCTTGTCTTTAGGAAAACACAGAAAAATTCCTCCATGGCCGACTACTGTCTTAGTAGAGATCTGATGATGGACCCTCTCTTAGAAACGCTGCCAGCCCTCAGTGGCCTGTCTGTGGTTCAAACACAGTGAAAATGGCTCCTTCCAACTACCGAACGGATTGCTGGGCCCCTCCTTCCTCTCCAGCATCCTCCACTCTACAGCCTGAAGAATCAATCTGCATGACTTGGAAAACGGAAGCTTTTGCTAACATTCTCCTAAGTGGAAAGCATAACCACATTCCAAGGTTTTCCAAAATTAATTATTCCTGGCAGATGCTAGGTTATCAAATAAATGGTGGTTGAACTGATCTAAAAACAAAAAATAGAAGCAGACACGGTTTTTCAGTACGTGACTGCACAGTACACCTTTTGTCACTTTGACCACAGAAAGCATTGAGAACTAGGTCGTTTTCGGAGCACATGAGAAGTGGAGAACGGGCACTCTAGTTGTCTCTTGTCTGCTGTAAGGTTAACTTCATCAAAGGTAACCAGAGGTGCGTCTGGACAAGAAACCCAGGCAAGTGCTTGCAGAAAGCTCCAAGGGGATTTTACTGCACATTCTAGAGGCAGCGAGGCTGAGAGAATGCTAGTGACGGCATCACACTGATGTTTCTGCTGGGCCCACAGAGGAAAGAGCTCTGTGCTGCTCAGGATGTGCCCGCAGACTCAGGAGCGCCCAGGTTGGGGGTCCCACTGGGACTTGACTTCATCACCACTGAAGGCAGGGAGCTCCCCACAGCCCCTTCTCTGCTCACACTTCCCTCTCCTCCTGCAGCTGTTCTGCTCGCAGGATGGTGTGCACTCATTGTCTGTGTAATGCGGGTGTGCCACTTAAATAAGAAGCGCCTCCTGTGAGGAATGCCAGCAGCGTGTAGTGGCTTTTGGAGAGGACAGGGGAACCTGTGTCTGCGTGATCCCCTTTCTGTCGGCAAGCTGGAGGGAACGTAGGGCATGGTTCAGGGAGGATGGCGTTTTCGTGGACCGTGCAGACAAGCTCTCTGTGTGATCTTTCATCATCCAGTGGTGGCCCTGGTGCTGTTCTAATAATGTATGCTGTGTAATAATTTATTAGCAATCTCATAATTAATGAACAGAGCCTGACAAGTAATAAATACTTGCTAAATACCCCCACTCCCCAATTCCTTCCAAGCTAAAAGACTGTGTTTTTGTTTGTTTGTTTGTTTTTTCCTAGCCTTAGGTTCTAAGTCTAGGACTTAGGTCCAGCAGAAACCTCAGTGTGACACTGTCACTAGCATTCTCTCAGCCTCGCTGCCTCTAGAATGCGCAGTAAGACCTCCTTGGAGCTTTCTGCAAGCACTTGCCTGGGTTTCTTGTCCAGAAGCACCTCTGGTCACCCTGTGAACTCACTTTCAGAGTGTTTAGATACAGGATGCTGTGGAGGGTCTGGATGAGGTGAAGCAGAGGGAAGAGTTGTGGGGAAAGCAGCAGACGGGAAAATTAAAAAAAAACACGATCTCATCACCCACATAACATGCCTAATGCCACATAGTAAGCATTCATTAAGTGACAGTTCCTAGATATTATTGCCAAGAAGCACACACCCTGAGCCCGAGTACCCCCACTGAAGGCGTTGCCTTAGGCCTCTAAGCAGAGTTGATGCCACCTCAGATCAGATCAATAGTTTAAGATCCCAGTCATGCTAACCAAGATTTTGGTGTCAGAGCCCAACCAAGGGCCCTTTCTAACCCCCACATCACTGGCTCTGCTTGGTTCTTCCTTCCGATTCTAGGAAACCCCGGGGCCTCATTCAGCCAGCCGATATGATTTACACCTGGGTTTGAGAAAAAGGCATGGATTTGGGAAGGCCAGAACACCTTCCAGGATTAGTGTTTGACCGTGGATAGATTCTGGGTTTGAAGTCAGAGGACAAGGGTTTAGAAGTTAATAGCTCTGCCCTTTATGAGTAGGTACTCAGAACTCTCTAAGCTTCGGTGTCATCTATAAAGCCGGTGACATGACCTTTACCTCAGTACTTGTGTCCAAATTAACTCATATGAATGTGTCCAGCTCAGTACTTGGTTCCATAAACATTAGCTTCTTTTCACAGCGTCTCTCCCACATAGAAAAGTGCTTTGTAAACTAGAAAGCCCTATGACGCTTAGCTTAGTGGTTGAAAAAAAGGTCTGTTTTGCAGACAGACCCAGGTGGGAATCTTACTTGTAAGCTGTGTACCTCCAAAAGTTACACAGCCTCACTAAGTTGCAATTCCTCACCTGTGGACTGAGGATGATAATATCTGCTCCATTAAAAGGATCAAAGGAGAGCTTTCGATCCTTCAGAAGTATTTGGCACAGTCTGACACGAAGCTAACATTATGTGCCCACTGATCTTCTGGTGTTGCTAGAGTGGCCTTACCTGGCTTGAAATTTGGGGGCAGACCTTGGGCCTTGGAGGGCCAGTGGTGATCTGGGGAGCCCACACTACATAAGGGTGGCGGAGGGAAGCCCTGTTGGAGGGTAGGCACAGACAGCTCTTCAGGGAGATCCGAGGGTTTGGGGAAACGAAAATAATGGCCATGCCCTTCCCTATTCCCTCTCCCTGCCCTTGGAGCCGTGACCCCTGGCCTTTCTGAACAGTTTGAAAGATGTTTAAAAAGAGATAGGGAGGCATGCAGGAAGTGACTGGGCAATAAGAGGACAGAAATAGCAAAGCCACGCATCCAATTTGGCCAGACTTAAAAGAAAGCAAGATTAAGCTGAGGATCGAAGGCTGACAGAGCTCTCCACCCCACCCTGGCTCTCTGCACCCCCACCTACAGGAAGAGCCACTTCCCAGGGGACCGATGCTCCTCCCCCCACTGCCCTGGCCTCTCACACCACTGAGGGGGCTTGCTGAGAGGCCCTAAGGAATCCCTGCTCTAGCACCAGAACAGAGATGTTGGTAGCCTTACAGCTCTCTGAAGGCAAAAACCCTGCCCAAGGCAGCCCTCCGGCAATGGAGATTTCAGATTTCCTGGCTGAACTTTGGACCCACCCTAAACCCTTCCCTGTCCCCACCGGCTCCCAAACAAGCTGGTTCCTGGTAAAAGCTAGCTGTTAAGGGTACAGGGCACTCCGAGAGTGCCGTCCTGCCTTCCAGATCTGGTAAGCTAGGGGAGGAATGGAGGAGGAAAAGAAGACAACTTACTTGTTGCAATCGGAGCTTCCAAGTCCCACTGATGCTAACTTCTGGGGTGTCCCTTTGAGGCGGGGTAGGGGGCGCTCAGGGCCCTTGAGGGGACTCTGCACCTCCAGCCATTACAGCAGCCTCAGACTCTGCCTAGAGCTTCTCCCTGTCGTGGGTTCTGTGAGCAGAGGCTCCTAAGCCATCCTGTCCCTGCCTCGCCAGCCCCTCAGTCACTCCCTTCTCCAGCGAGAGCAGCGGGAGGCTCTCTCTCCGTTTTTCTCTCCTCTCCCCCCACACCCCCTTCTTCCCTCTCCCCTCTTTTCTCCCTCCCCTCCGCCTTCTTCTTTCCCCTGTTCTCCTCCCCTTCTGCCCCCTACTACAAACGGATCTTTGTGCAATACTGTGTAATAACCGATTTAAAGGGCCACAGGCAAAGGCGGCGGGGGTGGAGG